TGGGTGGTCAATCCAATTATATAAATTTATTTCCTATTTTCTTTTTAGTGAATGCCACAGCAATTTACATCAATGACAATGTTACAAACCAGACTTATAGCTTCTGCTAAATCTCATGTCAACATAGCCAAGTAGCCTCTTTAATCAGGATGACTATTCTGATTTGCTTCAGGCCATCAAAGCCATGACTCCCACTTTAAGCCAGTGATTCTCAACCTGTGGGTCGTGACCCCTCTGCCAGCCCCCCCCCAATCTCCAGAAATATTTACATTGCAACTCATGACAGTAGTAAAATTACAGTTATGAAGTAGCAACGAAATAATTTTATGGTTGGGGGTCACCACAACACAAGGAACTGTATTAAAGGGTCACAGTATTAGGAAGGTTGAGAACCACTGCTCTAGGCAATAAATATTCATTAAAATCCCATTTCATTTAAAAATGTTCCAGTTAGCCGGGCGGTGGTGGCGCACGCCTTTAATCCCAGCACTCGGGAGGCAGAGCCAGGAGGATCTCTGTGAGTTCGAGGCCAGCCTGGACTACCAAGTGAGTTCCAGGAAAGGCGCAAAGCTACACAGAGAAACCCTGTCTCGAAAAACCAAAAAAAAAAAAAAAAAAAAATGTTCCAGTTAAAAGTATAAGTTATACAAGGGTCCAAAAATAAACACACTCCAGCACACAGGCATACTGTGCGGTCTCTCTTAAAGAGCCCTGTCACCTGGGCCATGATTGGATCATTTCCATTGCTTCAGCAATATATATGCCTTCCCAACCAGGGATTACTAACTCTTAATGCATTGTTTTCCAAACTTCGTTCAACAGCAGAATTTATTTCTGGAGATGAACAGTTAGGGTAGCAATGTTTAAGACAGATGAAATGGAGCTTTTCCTGGATGAAATGGGAGTGGAGAGTTTAAGACATTTGGTCTTCCTGATGAGTGCCATGGTCAGAGTCTACTGCACCACCACATGAAAGTGCCACCACTTTATGCGTCAAGGACACCTGGTTTCTTGCAAAGCTAGACCACAAGTTAATAATGAAAAGACCCAGAAGGCCTCAGCCTTCATGCTATGTTAGGCTCTTCCCACAGTCTTAATTTTATTCTTGACAATTTCATATGTATATATAATGTGTTATGATCATCTTCATCCTGTTACACTTTCTTCTCCCCTCCCACTTCTGCTGACCTCCTTCCGGTTCTCGACATGTCCCTCTCATGTGTGTGTGTGTGTGTGTGTGTGTGTGTGTGTGTGTGTGTGTGTGTATGTATATGCAGGTAGTCACTGTTGTTCATGATTACAGTAACTATGTCATATTAAGATGGTATTCCACAGTGCTCCTCTCCTTCCTTTGACTCTTGCAGACTTTCCATTCCTTCTTCCATCATGGTCCCTGGGGAGGGTGATAGAGATGTCCGCTTTAGGGTTTGAGTACTCAACAATCAAACTTATTCTCAGCACTTTGATCAGTTATGAATTTTTGCACTAACTGCTGCTCTCTGCAAAAGGAAGCCTCTCTGGCCCAGGTTGACAACAGCACTGATCTATGGGTATAGACACAACTATTTAGAAGGTGGTCTACTCACATGTACATTTAGCAGACTATCGGTAGTAAATTCCTCCCTGGGGTCTGTGACCTCCTTTGCTATAGGCTTTGATTATATCTTAATTCTTTTGCTTTTTTTTTTAAGATTTATTTATTTATTATGTACACAGAAGAGGGTACCAGATCTCATTACAGATGGTTGTGAGCCACCATATGGGTGCTGGGAATTGAACTCAGGACCTCTGGAAGAACCGTCAGTGCTCTTAACCTCTGAGCCATCTCTCCAGCCCTATATCTTAATTCTTGAAACCAGTGACAATTTGGAATTTAGTTGCTTGCTTCGTCTTCCCCACAGAACATGGCTGAAGAATGGTCATCACAGAACCCAATTTTTAGCAATCATTGGTCCTTTGGACCCTGATTATGGTAATTCTCTGATTTCATTGCTTTCCTTTCTGGGCCAATATTAGCCTACTCCTGGCTTTGCAACTGTGATTTGAACTGCGCCACCCCCTCGCATCTTGAGCAGACTATCCTGGGTCTCCTTTGCTGCCAAATCCTATTTTTCAATTCCCCACATCTTCCAAAATACCTTCATTCAGTGTGTCCCATGCATCAGTGCATCGAGAGCCCTCTTGGGCGTGTACGCCATCTTTGCCAGTGCCGTTATTTCAAACCAGATCCAGTCTTTCCTCAGGAACAGACACATTTCAACCACAGTTGACTCACCGGTCTGAGGACCCCCATCAGTTCTTGGTTCTGAGGATCAGTTGTTTTTCTTGGTACAAATCCAAAACTTTGAGGGTAGAATTCAGTATTAAGCTGGACTCTCTAGAACATCATTACGGGGCTTTGGTCACTGAGACACCAGAGGATGTTGTCCTAACACAGCAATTCCATTCAATGGCCTTGCACCCAGCCTGGTGTAACTGCTGTATTGTACATCTGAAGTGCCCTGGAGGTAGGGGAGGTTCAGCAGCGATGGATGGCTTTGCCAATTGGTTTACTTAGTTACAGGTGTTTGAAATGGAATGAGATTTTCTTGACAGATAATTTGACAAACTAGTAATGACTTGTAGATGTATAGACATATTTAAACAAAGGTTTTCTTCAGTCAACTATTTCTTGCTTGGGACATTTGTGAACAAGTCATTTACACTTTGAATAAAGTAAGCATTTATATGCATTGCACAATGTATGCAGAGAAGTTGGCTGGGTTTTTTTAAAGGGGATATTTTTTATGCATTTAGGAAACAAATTTTTGTTATACCATTCCCCAGACTTTGACCGACATATTCTTTTAAGAGGGAAGAACCAATCAATATTTGAACTTAAACCAAAGGATAGCGTTTCTTGGCCTTGGCATTATTGACATTGGGTCCGACTGTTATTTGCCACTGTGGGTTGCCCTGTGTGTTGCCAGTGTTAGCAGAGCCTCTGATTTCTATCCAGCTGATGCCAGTAGCGGCCTGTCATCATCATATTGTCAAGCATCTTTTGATGGAAGAAGTCACCCCTGGTTGAGAACCACAGTTATAGAAAGGGAGGGGGAGTTGGAGACAGGGCAGGCTACAGCCGCACAGTGATGTCAGCTCCTGTGATGATGACAGTTCAGACTTGTTTGCTGAATGAGACCTCCTCCACTAACCCTGGACCTCCCCTAAGTTTCCTCCTTTACATTTATTCTGTTCTAAGGCATAATGTCACTATGTTGTACAGGCTAGTCTTGAACTCGCAGGCCTTCTGCCTCAGCTGCTCCAGTGCTGGGGTTCTAAGCATCCATCACCATACTGGACTTCTTATTACAAATGTCCTAAAGAACCCTCTATCTTAAGAATTAGCCCTATATAAAAAGCATACAGTGTTCTACAACACTGAGTAGCTGATATTATTTTTTCTTCAGTTAAAATAAGTAATTCCAGCATGTACTCATACCGTTTACCTTTTGCTATTTAACAAACTAATCCAAAGCTCGGTGGCTAAAAACTATTTGTCAATGCTCACGTATTGTGTTGGCTGTGGGTCAGCTGATCTAGACTGAGCTGGCTGGGCAGCTCGACCTCTAGATGTAGGTCTTGAACTAGCTGGGACTACAGTGACTGACTGAGCTCTGTTATGTCCATGTCCCCTCTCATCATTGTCTTGGGATTAGTGGGCAATTCAGGTCATGCTCGTCTTGTGGTGATGGCAGAAACACACAAGGACTCCTGAAGCTGAGACACCGAACTAGCAACCATCGACTCTGAAATCATCCCACTGGCCAAAGCAGGTCACGTGGCGGACATTAACAGGAGAAAGATGCATGCACCATCCCTTAGTGGGAAGTACTACCCCAGTGGTTCTCAACTTGTGGGTCGTGACTCTTTGGCACACCTTTGTCTCCAAAAACATTTACATTATGATTCATAACAGTAGCAAAATTCCAGCTACGAAGTAGCAATGAAATAATTTTATGGTTGGGGGTCACCACAACACGAGGAACTGTATTAAAGGGTGGCAGCATTAGGAAGGTTGAGAACCACTGTACTAGCCCATCTAGCAAAAGGTGATTTAGCCTGGAAAGGGTAAAGAATTGTACTCAAGGACATGACCTGGAAAAACCCTCCCCTTTGCAATATATTTTACTTTTGCGTAATTTCACACCGGAGCTCCTTAATTTTGCTAGAGGCCTCCATAATGAGAGAATATGCTTACAATACCATTTTAAGAATGGAATCAACTGGAAAGGCAGAATGAACTGAGCTCTGAAAATATATCTTAACTCCAGTGAGCTCAGTCTTGTTGGAAGTAAACAGCATTATTTTTCTGTGGTTTTACAAAATGGAAAAAAAAAAAAAAAAAAAAAAAAGAAGCCAGATGTGTCCGATATGAAGGCCAAGAGAGAGAGCGTTTTCCAAGATGTTTGTGAGATTAAGATGTAAAAACACTGATATTTAAGGGCTGGCAGGTGGCAGATGTGTTGGCCAGAGGAATGTTGAATGAAAATCTCTGGAATGTTGGAGCAAACTTTTACGTGTATTGCCAGGAAGTGTATGCTGCTTGCTTTCCTGCCTCTCTTCAAAGGGTCTCTTGTAAGCCCAGTCTCGCCTGGTCCAGGTAGGGAGGCTTGGCAACAGCTGTAAGTGGAAGTGTTCTCTGAGCTGTGTTCTGCTCCAGCCAGACCAAGCCCTGCTAATATGTAACTCGAGTCTGAGCACTTCTTGTATGCTTACATTGGTTTCAGCATCATTTTTAGCGGCTGAAAAGAGCAGTTCCAAGTGCTCCCCCATCCCCTTGGTACTTACCATAATTGCATGAGGCCAATTACCAGAGTGGCAATCAGTCATGTTGGGGGATTTGAAAGGGCTAAAATTTTAAAAATTCACCTAATGACGCATGTACATGTCCTGAAGACAGGGAAGGCGGTGGTTGCAAGGGCAGAGCGTTGTATCGGAAATCACAATTATTTTTGCAGAGACCCTGGATTTAGAGGACAACGCTCTCCATGTTTGCTGTGATCCATCAAAAGTGGGTGTGGGCTGCATACCTATCAGAAGAGCTCAAAAACAAGGAAACAAAGCCAAGACAGCATGGCGACAAGGGCTGGGGCAAACTCTCAGAGACTGTTGAGCCTCTTTGCAAAACAGTGAGTGCCTTTTCTTCTTAACCATTTTGTGTCTGTGTGTTGTGGTGTTGTGCATGTAGTGCATGTACTTATTAGTGTGGATGTGTGCACTGATATGACCGGGTATGAGTGCATGTGTGTGCACATATGTGTAGAGGTTGATGTTGGGTGTCTATCCTAAAGTCTGTCTCCTCTCCACTTTTTTTTTTGAGACTGAGTTTCTCATTGAACTTGAAGTACGAGGACTGGTAGGCTGGCCAATGAGCTCCAAACACCACGAATCTTCTCTCCCTTCCCCTGTCCTGCTGCTGGGGTTATAAACATGAGCTGCTATGCTTGGCTTTTTTTTTTTTTTTTTTCTTTTTTCTGGGACAGGATTTCTCTGTGTAGCCCTGGCTGCCCTGGTACTTGCTCTGTAGAGCAGGCTGGCCTCGAACTCACAGAGATCTGCCTGCCTCTGCCTCCCTAGTGTTGGGATCAAAGGCGTGCGCCACTACCGCCAGCCTTGGCTTTTTACATGGGTACTGGAGATCTGTGCTCCGGTCTTCCTGTTGGTGCTTCAGGCACTTTCCTTGCTGAGCCCCTCCTCAGGCCCACAAAAGAGCTGCTTACTAAGTTAAGCTTGTGGTTGCTATGGGACCCAGGAATCCGACTTTTTGGGAGTAGCCAAGAGAAATGGAGACTATATTCACATACAAATGTCTGTGTGAATATTCCTAGTGTCTAGCTCACAATCATCAAGTGCCCTTTACTTAATGGGTAGATGAACTGTTGATGCTTCTACAGAGCTGAAAGCTACTTACAGAAGAGGATGGAAGATACATGAAAACAAGACCGAACTTCAAAGGCATGATGCTAGGCGAAAGAAGTCAGATTCGGAAAGCTACAGACTGAATGCTTTGGCTCAGATGATATTCTGAGAACAGAAGAACCTATAGAGAACAAGCCAAAGATTGCCAGAGACTGTGAGTGCGGCTATCTTATAAAGGGGGAATACAGGAAGGGGTGAGGGTAATAACAGTGTTCTGTATCTTAATTGTGATCATAGTTTTTTTAGGACTCTACAGATGGGTCAAAACTCATACAACTGGGCATGCAGAGGGGTTAAATTTAGACCTAAATAAGCCTCGCTTAAAAATGATGCATTTTAGCGTTCCTCAGAATCTCCTATCTTCACATTTGTCCGTGTAAAGTACCCACTGCCGTGGCCACCCAACTTACACCTGTGTTCTTGGAGATGATTCCTTGTCTCCCTAGCACCTGTTGAAAGTCCAAGCTTAGGGTCTGCTTCTTCTAAGTGGTTCCTTAACCAGCTCTCACTTGTTGGGATCATGGAACACATCCACCCTGAATTGAGACCCTCCCCTGTCCTCTCATCCCCTCTCCTCCCCTCCTCTCCTCTCCTCCCTTCTTCTCTGATTTACTTTCTCCCCTCCCCCTTCTTCCCTCCCTTCCTTTTTTTCTGTTCGTCAACAGGGTCTCGTGTATCCCCAGCCTTGAACCTGGTATATAGCTGAGGGCGACCTTGAAAGTTTGCTCCTCCTGCCTCCACCTCCTGAACGATGGGATGCCAGAGGTACGGGCATGTGCCCCCATGCCCAGTTTATGCAATGTTAGGAATTGATTCTAGGGTCTCAAGTGTGGTAGGCACTCACTCTCCCAAGTGAGCTATAGCCCTGGCACTGAAATTAAACCTTAAGTTACTGTTCTGAGACTTCGCTCTTAGGGATATTGAAAGCACACTCCCGAGGAGGGGATATGCAGCTCTTGGCCCGAAGCTGTGTTTTTCTTGGCCTGCACAGTTGTTTAAAGAAATTCAATTAGTTGCCAAGATTAAAAAATGAGAAATTTCATATAAAAATCCAGAGTTACAACTTCTCTTTAAGAAGTAGGAGGATCTGGTAAAATGGACCTGAATTCCACATGGAGCCGGGGCTGAGATGCCCTGGCCCTTGCAGCAGGCCTATGCCCTCCACCTCTGAGGTGCTGCTTTTTTGCACAGAGGCCTCCAGCGGCCCTGCCAGGCTCTTAGTTTGCCTACACAGCAGTGATACAGGACATAAGAATTGTACTGTACTTCTTTAAAATATAAATATTGTTGGGGTGTGTGTGGACCATGTGTGCTGGGTCGTTTTTGTCAACTTAACACAAACTAGAGTCATCTAGAAAGGAAAACACAACTGAGAAAATGCTTCTGTCAGAATGGACTCTGGGCAAGTCTTGATGGGTGAGTGATGTGGGAGGGCCCAGACCACCGTAGGTGATGTTGCTCCTGGCCAGGTGGTCTTGGGTGGTGTAAGAGAGCAGGCTGAGCAAGCCATGGGGAGCAAGCCAGTAAGCAGCACTCCTCCATGGCCTCTGCTTCAGCTCCAGCCTCCAGGTTCCTACTTGAGTTCCCGCCCTGACTTCCCTTCACGATGGACGGTAAGCTCTAAGATGAAGTAAACCATTTCCTTCCCAAGTTGCTTTTGGTCATGGTGCTTGGCATAGCATGAGAAAGCAAACCCGGACAGCATATGATTTGAAATACAGGAATAAACATATTGCTTGGTGAAAGGTGCTGTGGGATGATCTGTATGTCAAATGTGTTGCTGATTGGTCAATAAATAAATCACTGATTGGCCCGTGGCCAGGCAGGAAGTGTAGGCGGGACAAGGAGGAGAATAGAGCTGGGAAGTGGAAGGCTGAGTCAGAGAGACACTGCCATCCGCCATGATGAGAAACAGCATGTAAAGATGCCGGTAAGCCACGAGCCATGTGGCAAGGTATAGATTAATAGAAATGGATTAATTTAAGCTGTAAGAACAGTTAGCAAGAAGCCTGCCACGGCCATACAGTTTGTAAGCAATATAAGTGTCTGTGTTTACTTGATCGGGTTTAAGCGGCTTGGGACTGGCGGGTGAGAGAGATTTGTCCTGACTGTGGGCCAGGCAGGAAAACTCTAGCAACAGAAAGGAATGAGTTTGCCAGTGGCGTATGGTGCTTGTGATGGGCGTGTGCTGAAAAGATCCACATTCAGACTGTTTCCTGAAACAAATGCCTGCTCCACACTTAGCCATGGCATGGGTAGGAATGTTCATGTGCTCAATCCTCCCAGCCAAAAGGCCTTTGAGTAGTGGAGTACTCAGTTTGCACAAAAGAGACAGTATGGTGGCCTGTGTAAAATGTGTTACTGGAGAGGCAGAACTAAAGACCTTATAGAGAAGTAAGTTCAGAGAATTTTAAAAGTGTGTGTGTGTGTGAGGGGGGGGGGAGGGAGAGAGAGGGGGAGGGAGAGAGAGGGAGAGGGAGAGAGAAGGGGGTACAAATTGTTTAAAGTGTAAGTGGACCTTCCTAAGTCATTGATAGCAAAAGATGTGGGAATGGAGCCTATGCCCTTCAGTCAGTGATTTTCAAACTCTTGGGATGGTGTGAAGGTGTCCATCTCACTCAGAGGGTCCCAAATATATCAGTGTTCCCGATTACTTGGACACATCTTGAGTGACAAGTCTGATCTACACCTTCTCCAAAGAATTGGACATGATTTCCCAGCCCCAATTTAGCTTTTAGACAATTTGCTCCATGTTGCAGAGTACCTCACAGAATCAGGAGTTTGGGTCTTTTACCAAAGAATGTCACCCCTCTTGGACAAGGGGCTATTTAGGAGGTGATGGGGTTGGTACTTTGGGAAGAAAGTGGTTTTTTCTTTTTTTTTTTTTTTTGTGCGTGCGTGTGTGTGTGTGTGTGTGTGTGTGTGTGTGTGTGTGTGTGTGTGAGAGAGAGAGAGAGAGAGAGAGGGGGGGGGGGGGGAGGGAGGAAGGGAGGAAGGGAGGGAGGGAGAGAGAGAGAGAGAGAGAGAGAGAGTGATTGACTGGTTGGCATTCCCCAGGATCAAGTATGAATGACAGGATCCTTCTTGCCTGTCGTCTCTGTAGCCCTAGGCTAGTCACCAAGGTCTCCTGGCTTCCCACCAGCCTCCTGGAGGTGAATTCTTGACCTTGCAGGCTGTTGTGAAAGATTGAATTAGAACCCGTGAAAGCTGCAGGCTCTATGGAGGAAAGGTATTTCCGCAGAGCCAGGCGATTTACAGTCACTCTCATCTTTTCATTCTGAGTTCAGCTGAGACGCCAGGCTACGCATCTGAAAGTCCGTCTCCATCATCCACGACTCCCTCATGGTTCAGAATACTTCGAGGAACATCAGAGCTCCCCGCGGAAGAAGATAAATTATGCTTCTTTTGTACAGTTCTCGGAATTTCTCAGGCAGATACCGCTTCTGGTTTTAGTATGGTAGTTTCCTCACTTCAGGAAGAAAAACTTTTTTCTTTTAATTGTCCTTTTTGGATACAGACTGCTGCAATGTCTGTTTAAAACTTCGTTGGTGCTGGTTGGAAAGGAATATACTTTTTCTAAATCAGCATTCTTATGGCTCTGTCCAATAGGAATATAGTATGTCCGGATACACAATTAAAAGTATTTATTTTTTTTTATTTGTGTGTATGTTTGTGTGTACGTGCACACGTGTGTGGGTTCCTGCGAAGCCAGAAGAGGCTATCAGATCCATTGAAACTGGAGCCAAAGGTGTCGTGAACCACCACGCGGGTGCTTCGAATTGAACCTTGACTGCAGAGCCGTCTCTTCAGCTCAGCTCTTCAAGTTATATAGTGGCACTAGTTTTAAAAAGTTAAATTAATTTCACCCAGCACTGGAGAGATGGCTCAACAGTTAAGTGCATTGGTTGCTGTTCCAGAGGACCTGGGCTCAATTCCTAGCTCTCACATAGTAGGTCACAGCCGTCCATAGCTCTCGTTTCAGGGCATTTGAGGGCCTCCTTGATCTCAATGGGCACTGCATGCATGTGTTGCATATACATATATGCAGGCAACACACCTGTAGATGGGAAATAAAAATAAAATGAAAAAAATCGTTTCAATAATGTATTTTATTTAACCTAGATATTTCTGAAATACCCTTTCAATATAATTGATGTTAGAATTACTAATGAGATACTTTGTCTTTTTTTTGTTATTGTTATTAAAATATAAGGAATCTTAACAATAACAGTGTGTTGTGAATTTTCACTAGGAAATACTTAGCCTGTCTTTGGTTCCAAAGTTTGCAGCTTTTACATATTTTCACATTGGCCCGAACAGTCTTAAATTTTCTTGAGACCGGATTTTCAGTTTTTAAGTTTTAATTCCCATGAGAGAATAAAACAGCATTTAAGCATCTCTTCCTTGGCCACACTGTCATTTCTAGGCCCCGTAGACACTAGCCTCTAGTGGCTATATTTGATAGCTAGGGCAGGGCCAGACTGAGGTGAAGGCTGCTGATCCATGGGATTTTCAGAAGTCCTATTCCCACACCCGCCACTGGTAGCTTGTGTGTGTTCCTTGTCGAGGGAGTCCCAGCAGGAAGACGAACCCTGTGAAGATGATGGAAGGCCCTTCCTCAGTCAGCACACATGATTTGCCTTGCACTCTCTGGGGTCCTTCTTTATCTAGCCATTTGCCCCTCAGAATGGCTCATATTCTCTAGAAGGAACTTGCAGGTATCCAACCGGGAGCCACCAGACCGAAACAGCACCTATCCAGCCATGACATTGTGTATCCACTTGACAGATAGGTATGCAACAAGTTTTGATGTCCAGCCTTGCTAAACTCTGGGGAATATTTTAGCCATGAGAAAGGATCACAGGGTTACTGTCTTCATAAAACTTGATATCTAGAAGTGGGGGACGTTGAACCTAATCGTAGCAGCATGCTAATATAAAGTGCTGTTCTTCATGAGACCACACAGTTAGGGACTGAATTCAGTCTGGGGTTTTGGTGAATCCTCTTTAAATATTTGAAGTTTTTCTTGGGCCCTGGTGGGTTTGGGAAGTGAGAAGTGGCAGAGATTTTTTTTTTTTACATCAGGGATACAAGTATAATCAAGAGTCACAAGCAGAGTGTGATCAGTTAGGAGGGATAGAGAGAGACGAGTAGAACCTTCAAGGCCTCCGGGAGGAATTTAGTCTTTATCCTTATAGACTGGAGGTCACCAAGAGCTATAGCAAACTGCATGTGCTCCCCCGGGATTCCTCCTTGGGGTTTTATGAGATGACACGTGGCTGCAGATCTTCTGTGTGATTGCCACCTCAGGTTCAGCCCCAGTGGAAAATGACTGGGGAAGAAAAATGGTACCTTTGTGTTATTGCTGACTCACCAGCAATGGGCTCCAGCAAGTTCTGAGAAAGAAGCAGTTCACGAGGACATTGAGGACAGAAGCAGTTTTAGAGCTCAGAAGGAATGCATATCACATATCCCAGAAATAAAATTTGGATGTTCCAGCTCCAATTGTAATCAGGTCTGCAGGAACTGAGGCTCATCATTCTTATATCATCGTTAGTGGTACTTGCCGTGGCTTGAATGTCACATGCAATTCCTGTTGAAACTTAATCCCCACTGTGCATTATTAAGAGGCTGGAAACTTAATCTAACTGTGGCTCTGGGAGGTGGGGCCTTGGGGAGGTAATTAGGGTTAGATGAGGTCATGGGCATGGGACCTCCATGCTTGCATTAGTGGCTGTATAAGAAGAGGGAGAGCCAGCAAGCTCGCCGTGTCTCAGCATGTGCTACCCTCTGCTGCAGTGTCCCCGTCCTCAAGAAGGACCTCACAAGATGCAACTCCCTGACCGCAGACCTCCAGAACTATGAGCCGAATAAACTTTTATTCTTTGTAAGTTACCTCGGCCGTAGTTTTCAGTTATGGCAACAGAAATTGATGAAGATAATGCTGCCACTAAGCATCTAGTACCACAGCTATTATTTATCCAGGGCCTATTGTTTTCTAGCTGTATATGTTCACACATGTGTGTAATTAATCCACAGAAAACCCTGCCCACAATGTAGATATTATTCCCATTTTATTTGATATGTAATGAAAGAGAGGTATGCTAAGGTTAAATGACTTGTCTACAGCTGAGAAGCTGATTTTGGGGCACAGGTCTGCTTGATTTCAAAGCACTGGTATGTTCTTGTCATCACTAGTGCCTGGTAAGTAGGGGCCAGATGATTTCAGGCTTGAGCATGGGTAAAACAGTATGGGTGTAGATAGGAATGGATTCACTCATGCCTGTGAGAGAAGCCAAGGATCAGGAGCCTTACTCGGATAGGTGATACTTAACTGAGACACTGGTCAGCGTCACTCTCTAATTATTCCCCCCAATATGTGCTAGTCCCAAAGCCATGTGTATAATTCCATTTTTTTCCCTCGGTCCCCTTTCATCTGTTTAGGTCTTAAGCCTTTCTTTCTGCTTTGCAGACCCATTAGTATCTCTATTTGGTTGAGCTGAACTGGATCCATTTCTGTAGACAACAGTTCAGTGGTCTCAAGCTGGGCACAGCCTTCTTCATCTGTGAGGGATGATGATGTGCAGGTAGCGTCTCCTGACCCAAAGGTAGATACATGTTCTAGGCGTATACAAGCAAGCAAACAAGCATCCCTGATCAAATGGAGCCTTTATCTTAGTAAGATGAACAGACAACCAAGTAAGACTTACAGTCCATGGTGCATTTAATGACAGTACAAAGTAAGGAGGAAAATGAGACGAGAGTGTTCAAGGAAGTCGGGATGGAGGCATCTGAACTGGAGCCCTAAAGGAAGTGAGGGGGAATTGAAGGAATCTGGGGAGAGAGCCTTCTAAGCATTGCAAGCAGCCAGACCAAAGGGCCTGAGGCATGGTTGGGCCTGGAGCATAAAAGGAACAGCAAAGTGCTTCGGCTGGGACTGGGTGCAGCTGAAGACGGGGTTGGGGCTCGCAGGACTTTGTAGCCGCTTTGGTTTTCCTATGAGCGAGGGTTTGTAGTAGAGGAGCAGCAGATTTCAAGTATGGATGATAGTGCAAATGCAGGCCTAGAGGTGGGCAGGAGAGTGGGTATGGATGATAGTGTAAATGCAGGCCTAGAGGTGGGCAGAAGAGTGAGGACTCACTGCAGTCCTGTGTGGGAGAAAGGATGAAACTTAGACATGGATGGTCAGGGGAGGCTGTGAGAAGTAATTGAATGTTCTCTCTTCCTCTATTTCTCTCTCTCTCTCTCTCTCTCTCTCTCTCTCTCTCTCTCATCTCTCTCATCTATCTCTCTATCTCTCTATCTCTCTATCTATCTATCTATCTATCTATCTATCTATCTATCTATCTATCTATTTATCTGTCTGTCTATCTGATACAAGGGATCAAGTAGCCCAGGCTGGCCTAGAACTCACTATGTAGCCGAGGATGTCCTTGGATTCTGATCCTTCCACTTCTACCTCCCAAGTGCTGGAATTACAGGTGTGCATTACAATGCTCAGCTGATTCTACAGACATTCTGAGGAAGAGAGAGTGTTTGGGGCTTGCTGATAGATGAACAAAAATAGACCATTTAAAGTAATTTTATTTTCCCATCCAGAAGTTATTTTAGCTATCTTCAGGCACATGTAACAGGCCATCTCGGTCATTTATTGTCCTAGATATTTCTTATATTCTTTAAATGGTATTTTAATTTTTTAAAATTGTTCAAGTAAGCCATCATTCTAACCTTCTTGTAAAATATCATGCAGAGCAAAATGAAAATCTCTTTTTGTGCCTCCGTAGTTCTTATCCAAGAAAGAGCTCATTCCTAAGATGTTTTGATTTTTTTTCCTGTGCTTGTACATGACATTCATATAGCATAAAGCTGAGGAGTTAGGTTTTTTGTTATGAAAATGAAGGCATGATCTCACACTGACTTTTTTAAATCCAAATATCTTGAAGATCTTTCCATATCAGAACACTGAGACCCACTTCCTTCTGCTAAATTGCCAGGGAGTCCTTCAAAAATGCATCTGACTCATTTCACTTCTCTCTCCTAATCATTCCCTGAATTAGGGAATCAAAGACAGACACCCACGCACATGCCCTAGGCAGAGTCTCTTTTCCAGAAAGCATCCACAAGATGACATTTAAGGGTTCAGAGAATGAGCTTAGCGTGCACAGTCACCTTCCTGAAATGGCCTTCCTGTTCTGGCGGGGTCACAGCTGCCTTGATCATTTCTGTTTGAAAAAGACTCTGCTGTGTTACACTCTCGGCAAGTCTCATATCCCCCTCACTAGCAAAAGTTAAAGAGTCGGGTGCAGGATGGCCTGGCCTTGGATGGCCTGGCCTTGGATGGCCTGGCCTTGGATGGTAAGTAAGCACATTGGCCAAGCCAAAGGAAAGCAGAGGCTGCAGCAAGAACAAGTGTTGTGAATAGAACAGGGATCATTTTGTGTGCATATCTCCCCCGCGGGGCCCCCCCCATTATTAGATCACTGCATTTATTAGTCTTTGATATAATTTCATATCAACAATACACAGACTTACAGCGGCCAGTGCATTATGAAAAACAAAAGGACTTACTGTTCATCACCAGAAAGCTCCCACCTCTGAGCACTATTTTCATGGTTATAAGAATAAGATGTCTACAGTCTATCTAGCTTCCCCTGTCCTGAAGGTACAGGCTGTTAAGGTTTACGTAGTCATCACAGTACAAGCTACTGCTCACTTCTTTCTCCTCTCTTCCTTGAATTCACCACACAACAGGTAGGAGGGGAAATCAGACATAGTCTATGGGAAAACCACCTCCAGGGCTGCGCTTTCCAGTGCTGGGGTTCCTGTGTGCAGGGAGCCCTGTTATAATGCCAGAGAACTCTAGTGAATGGAGGCTATTTTCAGACATGTGGGACAAGGTGCGAAGTTCACCGGCTTTCATCCGTTTTATTCTACTGCACCCACTCACATGAAGGCATAACCATACCTTCCTCTTGTATTGAGTCACTTATTTTCAGTGAAAGGCAGCTCGTCGATCAGCATGGCAGAGAGCAACTGAGACTCAAAGTAAGGAGAAAGGTTGCACCAGAATATTCAAGTTAGGAGACACAGACAGTGGGTAGGAGAAACTGGGCCCCATACACA